TCCTTTCCTTTCCTTTCCTTTCCTTTCCTTTCCTTTCCTTTCCTTTCTTTCTTTCTTTCTTTCTTTCTTTCTTTCTTTCTTTCTTTCTTTCTTTCTTTCTTTCTTTCTTTCCTTCCTTCCTTCCTTCCTTCCTTCCTTCCTTCCTTCCTTCTCTCAACTTTCTATTTCAATGGTGACTCTTCCCCCTTCTCTCTTTTGTGATTTTTCTATTTCTTTCTCTCTCCCTCTTCTGTGACTTTCTCTCTATTTCTCCCTCTTTTGTGACATTCTATTTCCTCACCCCATCTTTCATGATTTTCTATTTCTCTCTCTTTGTCTCTGTCGACTATCTCTCTATTTCAGTGGTGACCCTGGCCCCCGTCTCACTTTTCGGGTTTTCTCTCTCTCTTTTATGACTTTCTCTCAATTTCAGTGGTGATCCTGATCCCTTTCTCTCTTTTGTAATTTTCTATTTCTCTGTCTCTCCTTTCTTTCCATTTCAATGGTGACCCACCCTTCTCTCTCTCTTTCATGATTCTTTCTTCCTTACTTTTCTTTCCTTGACTTTCTTCTGTATCTCTTTCTCAATGGCGATCCTTCCTTCCTCTCTTTTTCTTTCTTTCTTTCTTCTGTAACTCTCTCTCTTTCTCAATGGTGATCCTTCTTTCCTTCCCTCCCTCCCTCCCTTTGTCTTCTGTAACTTTCTCTCTTTGTTGATGGTGACCCTCCATCCTTCCCTCATTCTTTCCTCCCTTTCTTCTTCTTCCTTTCCCTTTCCCTTTCATTTTTTCCCCTTTCCTTTCCCCATCCCTTCCTTTTCAATTCTTTCTACCCTTCCCTTTCTTTTCCCTTTCCCCTTTCCTTTCCCTTCCCTTCCTTTTCTTTTCCTTTCCCCTTCCCTTCCCTTTCCCCTTTCCTTCCTTTTCTTTTCCTTTCCCCTTCCTTTTCTTTTCCTTTCCCCTTCCCTTCCCTTTCCCTCTGTCGTCTTTCTCTCCTATTTCAGCGGGAGACCCTTCTTTCTTTATCCCTTTCTCTCTATCCCCGCTTCCCCAATCCCAGCCGGGTCCAAACCCGCCGCGTCTCCCCGCAGGGCTTGAGCACCTCCCCGGCAGAGGCAGGCCCGGCCCTCCAAAGCGTCGCCGGCGTTTCCGGGCGGAGTCGGTGCGTCGCCGGACCGCGTCCCCCAGGGGCCCCCTTCCTCCTCCAACTCCACCGGTAGACCATGCAGGCCCGGGTGGTGTGCCTGGGCAGGGCGGGCGGCGGCGGCGGGGGTCCCTGCACGGGCTCCTCAGCTGCCCGCAGGGTCCGCCTCCTCCTGCAGCAGGTGGCCGGGCTGCGGGGCGGTTTCCGGGCCTTGCACGGCGGACAAGGTGAGGCCCAGGGTAGGCGGGGGGGACGGGACGGGACGGAGACCCCGCAGGGCATGGAGAGCTCGGGAGCTGGAAATAGCGGGGGGAGGGGGAAGAGGGGCTTTCTGGGGGGAAGGAAGGGAGGGGCTGCTTGCTCTGCGGTGAGGGGGGCGGGGTCGGAGGGGTCGGTGGGAGGCTGGCTAAGCTGGGGTCTCAGCCTCTCTTCCCTTCCTTTTCTCTCTCCTTCCTTCTTTCCACCCTTCTTTATTTCCCTCCTCCCTCTCT